TATTTCGAGTGCCTCCGAATTCATTTTTCGGTACTAACAAATGCCCCCTGGAAAACATTTGTTTCGAAGTAACTGAGAAAGAATGTTTTTCAACGCCTCAACTCTCTTTCTCTGATAAGACCCTAGAGCGTTGTACTCTTCGCGAGAATTAAATGCCCCTGACATCTTTTAATTCTGAATTTAACGTTGAAAAATTTATTTCCTTAGTTTATTTATACAATATATGTGTTGGGGTAGTAAGGGTGTCACACTAACAGGGTTGCCTCCATTATCCTTCGGGAGAAGGGGTGTCTCAACCAATGGGTGGTGGTGTCGATCTTGCCACCAATCAAAGAAGTAACCGGTGTTCGGGTTACATGGTCGGTGGGGCATGATAGGCCGACTCCTCTGGGAGTGTGGGAGTTGACGGCACGTAGGTTTGGTTCAGACTTCGGAGCTTAGCGTTTTCTCGGCGCAGTTCGGCCAACTCCCTGGAATCGGCCTCTCTCTGTCTTTGGAGGGCTGCCATTTCCTCGCGCAATGCGCGCAAGTCACCGTGGAGGTCGGGCTGGGCTCCGTCGGCGTTCGGCCGGACCTCTTGTATCACAGGCTCCGGTTGTGTCTGAGTTTTTCCATATGGGTATCGTTCTTGGCCGGTCATGACGGGATTGTTCTCGGGGTTGGGGATCGGTTGAGTCGATGTCGATGGTCCTTTGCGTGTTACTACCATATCTCGGTCTCAGTTGTAGAGTTAAAAGGGACTGAAAACGTCTCTTCGGCCACACGGTGGGCGCCAAATGTTCCTGTGTTAGGATACACACTCCAATTATCCTTGTTGTAGCGGGTCGGGTCCGGGGTCTAGGTCTTCTCGTCCTTCTCCGAGTAGTCCGAAATGAGGGGGGTGCCTGCAAAGACACTCCAACGCTCAAGTAAGTGCTCGGCGTATTAAATGCGGTAGTTGAAAAGTTTGTTACGTACCTCGTTGGGGTCCTATTTATAGTGATTCTTATTGGGCCGTAATTAAGGACTGGGCCCCGGGAAATTAGGGGGCTAATCCGGTGCATTACATAAATTAACCTCTCCATAATTATCCTGGCGTAAATCCGTGACTTGGCCGAGCACACCGACACGTTCCGTTCAGATTGTGAGTGGTCGATGGGCTCAGGTATTCGACCTGGTCGTCCACGAACTCGGGTATTCGGCCTAGTCGGCCACAAACTCGGGTATTCGGCCTAGTCGACCACGAACTCGAGTATTCGGCCTAGTCAGCCACCATAAGATATACGAATTAAATTCAATGTTTAATGAGATTATTATTATTTTTAATAATGATGACAACATAATGCATACTAGTTGGTGCCATATAGTCTATAACGCGGAGTTGGGTTTTTCTCCCTCGTAGAGCATGGTGATATCTTCATTTGACATGACTCCATCTTTTGACTCCACTTTTTACTCGAAGTTATAGTTTGAGAAAACAATGGTTAGAAATAGCAACTAATCAAAAAATTCAAATTAATGGGGCAATATTTATATGCATTTTTTTACATACATGAATTTACAGGATTTCGAATATAAAATAACAATTTTATAAGATGAAGTAAATTAATGAAGTCTCAAGGTAGTTAGATGATAGATCGTGCAGTTTTTATTTGAGATGTATGATGAGTTGCAGTTATTATATATTCTTGAAACCCATAACATGTTTCTGTTTTGTTTTCGAGTTTTTGATATGCATAACAAAGTTCTTGTTTATTTTTTCTTGATACACACATGTAAACAGTTTCAGTTTTTTATGACACCCATGAGTCCACAGCTAAGTTTTCTGTTTTCCTTTTATAGGTATATGTAACAAGTTTCAGTTGTAGAGAAGTTGGAATATATTTTGTGGGGGCAATAAATAAATAAATAAATATATATATATATATATATATATATTATATAATATAATAAAATATATATATTATATAATATTAATTTATTTTAAAAATAAATTTATTTAGATTTATTTCGTTCAATAACGATCTAATCGTTGAATTAAAAACTTTAATACATAGATCAAATTTACAAATTTTTTAAAAATTTAAAATTTTGATATTTCATTTTATTAATTTAAATTGACGGATAATTATAAAATTATTTTATATATTAATTAAAATTAGTGAAATAAAATATTAAATAATTTTAAAATATTAAATTTTAAAAAAGGTAGTGGGACAACTGGCCCAGAGTCCAATACTTAAATGTTAAATCCATCCCTGGTTAGAAAGTAGAATGTGATATTAAAGCTTGTAGAGTAAGTTTTCATAATTTTTTGAATTGAATATGAAAGTGGAGAGTCCTGATTTTTAGTGACTATAATAATAATAACACGAAGCTCATTCCATGAGTGTGCCAACGACGACATTTCATTAAAAATAATAAAAATAAACATGCGTTAACGTTTAAATTATTATGAAAAAAAATATAAATACAAATACATGAACTAATTTTTTTAATTTGTGCAGTTCAAAGATACGAATACATTACAAATTTAAAACTTTATTTTATTTTATTAACTTTAGATACTAAGAATGTGTTTAGCTTATTGTTAATAGTCACTAAATGACTGTTGAAGAGAAGTAAGAATTTGATGTTAAAAATTCATAATAATATAATAAATATTATAAAATACAATATTATAGTATATTTAATAGTATATTTAAGTAAGATTTAAAAAAAATTATGTATCTAAAATTATGAGAGATTCATTTTTATCGATTTTAATAACATGAGAATAATCTAACAAGACACAAAAAACAAAAAATATTTTTCTTATGAATTGATTAATGAGATACTAATTATATATATTACTAATAAAAATTAAAGACCTCTCAATAGGTTACTAAATAATCTAATCCATCAAACTATTTATCATAAGTGCAATATACATTATCCATAAATTAACAATAATGTACAATATAATTAATATTAACATATAAATATAATTTATTAATTAATATTAATCTATAATAATAATAATAAAATAAAAAATAATTATATAAATAAATCAATATATATATATA